TGTGAGGAGTGGACAAACATGTGGGTACGGGAATGTGAAAAAAAACATGTGGAGGCAGAAGCGACAGGAGCACACTCTCGTGATCTTTGATGACGAGACTGTCAAGAAATAACCCCTCGAAGCGGCAGAGGGTGAAACAAGTGGTGGCGTTGAGTCCGGAAAGGGTGATGTCACCGCCATGGTTGCCAACAAAGGTGACACCAACCGTAACGATGAATTTAAGAAGAGGAGTTCACACTCCTTTCCCGAGAGGCGTCAAAAACCACGCCCAACTGGAAGTCATGCAAGCCGCTCGAAAGAAGGCCTGTTGCTGTGGGGTACCCGAAACAAGGCCTAAACTGGCCTTTAGAAGCCCAACGTGCGATAGTTGACCAAAGAAAATCAAAGGTCAACAGAAGCTCCAAAATTCAGGCCCACGAGTCTAAGTCAACATGAACCCAGTCCAAGCCACCGATCAGACACATACCTTTGGCTGTTTGCAGGTATCTGTAAGTAATCACGTCCAACTGGGAGTCTGCAACTGCACGAGATCCACGTCATTGGCTGCGAGACAATCTGGGCCATTGTATCTGAGAGACCAAAGGATGGTCAACCAGAGTCAACACTATAAGTTGACCCAGCCCCTGCTGACGGGCATTCACTCTTGCACATGCTGCTTCATGCTGGCTTAACGCTGGTGCGACGACGCTGGCGCCTTTCTTTGTCTTCAACGCCAGCTGGACACTCGATTATGGTCATGTGACTCTTGCCACACTGATCACGACATTGATGGTGTATCTGCGGGGGAGGCTTCGTCCACATTCGATCAAGGCTGTGAGATTGGTCGAATGTGGACGAAGCTTACCTGTTTGTGTTCGCGGTCAACGTTGCGCATTGCTGTCCATCTTCAAAAGGTGTCTTCACTGACAAGTGCCATGATGAGATCTGCTCGTTGTCCGTGTGTGTCAGAGAAAACTGTCTGCTGATGTGGTGAGTGGGAGATGCCAGAAGAGGAAGTGGGATTGTGAGGGAGGTCTATCTGATATGTTGATGGGTACTTTCTTTTCCACCTTCTAAGTCTTATCTCCTTCCTACCATCCTCTTCTCTGGTGACTAGACATGTACGCTTTTGGAGACATTGAAACTGCGCTGAGACATACTATATTTCAACATTGACGAGCTTTTCTCTGGATTGGGTTCATTGCATACGGCTGTCACAAATGTATCGGCTGTTCCGGCGTAGCGATAGTGGGTTTCCGCAGGGACCTTCTGACATCCACAATCAGGACAAGCCCATTCTCGGTTGGGCCGGTACCACAAACAGGGCCCATAAGTCTGCGTGACATGACATATGCTGCATATTAACCAAAAAATGAAACCGAGGCTCAACGGACGAGACACGACAAGGGAGCCATCGCTTAGGTGGTAGCAGCAGCATATCGTGCCAGCGGCACACTGTTTTTATTTTCTTGGCTGGCGCCACCTGCCATTGTGGTCCGCTACCCCCAAATGTCCAAAATTTAAGGAGTACGTGACAAAGAAATCTTGCAAGGCTGGGGCAGTGTACTGGCGGTTTAAATAAGCAAAAATGAGGGCTGTTGGGCAGGGTACAGTTTCGGAGTAAGGTTACCTGACTGGGTGCCTATGCTGCCTCTGCCTCCTCGCGTGGCTTAGCTGTGTCAGCTCTGGGTCAGGTTCCGGGCAGCACCAGCGTAAGTTGCAAAAGAAAAAGACACAAAAAAAAAGTCAGCCCCTGACGAGTTGGTGAAACTCCAACGATCTGGAGGAGAAAACGGATTCCATTCACGAAAGAGCCATGGAAATTTGACATCGGGGAGGTATCTAATTCACGTGCAACAGCCATCGTTATGACACTGTGCTCAACAGCGCACGCAGAAATATCTCGTCATTGTCAAACCATGGTGGATGTAAATGTGAGGTGGGGAATCTTACTACGGTTTATTAGATTCGTTCGAATCGTCAGTGATTTCTGATTCGCTGTGTCAGGACTCCTGCGAAGCTGAAAAACATCCGGGGATACTATAAGGGAAAACAGAGAGAATCCAATGGGGAAAAGAAGAGGATTTTTTTTATGGACAGGGGTTGCATCAACCATTTATCTCCTTTCTCTGAAAATATATGCTTCCTTTTTTTTTTTTTTTTTTTTTTTTTGGACTATTTCTCGATGTATGCATGTCATCCTTGCACAGTGGTCATGCTAATCTTCTCTGTGTATCGTTCCAATTATAACGGATGTCCCTAAGGACAAGATATGCTTCTTCTACTCTTCTACTCTTCCCTCAGGGCTCCTACTCTTTCACGGACAAGGTTCATCAACCGGGCTTCCTCCGGGTTGCATCACCCATGTATCGCCGTTCTCTGAAATTGCCGGGAACCTGCTGGTTGATGAAAGGTTATCCTTCTTCTACTCTTTCCTCCAGGATTGCATCGACCTCGAGTGAACCTTCAGGATTGCATTTTCACAGTTGACTGGAACTTTTAACCTCCCGTATCGCCACTGCCAGAATGTACCTGCACGCTAGGCTACCAGCCAGGCCGCCTGGGTCACCCTGTTTGCCTGGGCGGCCGGCCGTACAAGGACCAAAAAAGGTCCCAGCAAAAAAAAAAAAAAAAAAAAAAAAAAAGGAAAAATCCAAAAACTCTGAAAAAAGTTAAAAAAACAATTGTGTTATGCAGAAAATAAACTGAACAACTTTTGCCTCAGGGTCACATCGAAATTCTTTACCAAATTTAAAATAAAATTCAAATAAGAAATATATATAATATATATATTTTTTTTTTCTTTTTTTTTTTGGGCCTGGCCGGGCAAGTGGTCCCCGGCCACTCTGGTAGCCTACCCTGCACGTCTGCCTATCCCATAAACTTCCGATGGGATTGCCCGTACGCTATCAAACATAGTTGAAAAGATCATAGAATGAGCTCCTTTTTCTTTTTTTAAAGGACGGGTAGCCTTAGGGTCACATCAAAATTCTTTACCAAATTTAAAATAAAATTCAAATAAGAAATATACTGTGTTAGTCCCCGGGCGGCCCCGCTGGGGGAAGGTCGCCCGGGTACCCTCCCGGGCAGGGTCCCGGGCGATCCCAGCGCATAATATTTGTAAAAAATAGAAAATAAAAAAAAATAAAAAAAATCCGGAAAAAAAATATGTAGTGAAATATTGCAATACAAACGACTTTTGGCTGAGTGACACCTCGAAATTCCTTGTTAATTTCAAGATAAAAAATAAATGGGCAAACATGAGTCCCAAAAGACTCCAAATGTGCCCTTTTAAGCCCTTTAGTCACTGTTTATACCCCCCAACCCCCCCTGGATGACCCATCACCAAAACCGAAGTTAAGACCGGATTCTGACTGCTTGGGCCAAGCGCAGTCCTGGCCTGAAGTCTTTTTTTTTTTTTTTGGGATCCTTGCCTGTTTTTTGACCCGTCTGGTTTTGCCGGGCAACCCCCCCTTTGCCCGACTGGCCCGGGCGTGCCTGGCCGGGCGTACCCGGCCGGGCGACGGCCCAACATAGGAAACATATATATTTTTTCTTTTTCTTTTTTTTTAAGGACGGGTAGCCTTACCCAACTTTGCTTTGTATATTCATATAGCTGGGAATCGGTTCCAGCGTCCCTTGCATCATATGCCACGGCCGTTCCGACGTCCTAGAATGACCTCTTGCTTGATAAGAAACATGGAATTCTGGACTTGGTAGTGGTGTAACTTGATCATTGTGCGGCGAAGAGCACTTACCTTGCATTTATTTAATAGTATTTAATTTACCTTGCATTTATTTGATAGTATTTAATACAGTCACCAGGATCAGGTGATAGAGCGCTGCAAGTGTAGATCTTCAGATAGGTAGGTGGTCTTTTTACTTCTGAGGATTTGAACTGGTGGCACCGCAACCAACTGTAGACGACCAGTCCCTCCGTGCCTCTTCTTCCCGGCACGGATTTTTGCTGCACACCAATTGGTGACGAACCAGTGCGGCACACGATTTGCCTGGCGGCACCCGCCTTTTCCATGTGGTACGCCTGACCCATGATTTTGCGGCGGGTTGAGGACAAAATAGCTGGGAAAGGGACTGGTGATTTGAGAGCATTTGCATAAGGACTTCCTCAATGTATCTGACGGTAATCACAGTCGATCCTGGATGTATCTAACCATAATTATTAATTACATTAAGACATCAGTCAAAAGAGCTCCTGTGTTTTTTTTCTTTAGCAAAACAATCCCGGGAGGCAGCTTGAGACCCTGGTAGGAGTCGACATCTCAAGCTACTCCCAGGGAGGCTCCATCTATTAGTGGGGAGCTGCACCTGCTGGGAAACGGGCCCAGTGTCCCCTTCTACACTTTCCAGAAATCACACAGTAGTTATGTCCAGGGGGGTGCCTCCACAGCCCAGCAATCGGGCCGTCGAGCTGCAAACCTCTCAAAGTTATTCCACCAATCTCTTACAGGCCCTTAAGTCGTTCCTCTACCATCGAGCTGCAGACCCCTAAACCCTTTTCCCTAAATCTTTTGAGGCGCTGAGTTCTTCAGCCCTGAGACAGAGCTTAGCTCGGCAACACAGACTGCAGGACACATATCTGTCTCATTCCCGCCTTGGATCTTTGATCCATTTCTTGGGGTGTAACATTCAGCATGAAGGTTGCTGAGCATGCCGCGGAGACGATTTTCAGCATGACAGGTATGGTGTTGAAGCCGTGCACTAACCTGATTGATTGCCTTCTCTGTCTTTTTCTTTCCAAGTTTTTTAAATGGGCCCTTACGCTGTTTTCAAAATTTTACTACTTCACTTTGAAGTTTGGACTCTTCAACCACCCTTCATTTGATATGGAATGCCGGTTTCCTCTGCCCCCTTAGATGATTGGTCCTGTCTCAATCACTGTCCTGATTATGTTGTGTGGGTGACGATGGACACTTTCCATCTCTCACATTACTTCATATACCTGACCTATGGGACGTGCAGCCTTGAAGCTATGATAACATCCCCATAAGAATGTCAATCATTGATCTGTTTTGAGTTGATTGGTAACACAAGGAATGACAATCATGAGAGAGAGAGAGAGAGAGAGAGAGAGAGAGAGAGAGAGAGAGAGAGAGAGAGAGAGAGAGAGAGAGAGAGAGAGAGAGAGAGAGAGTAAAGCAAGGACGTGGCATTCACTCTTACAAGCAGAGTGCCTTAGGAGTGGTGCAGATTAGCACCCGCCAAAGCTACGTGACAGGACCGTAATGGACAATCTGGGTTACGCAATCTGTACAGATCCGTCTGGGGAAAAGAAAAAGACCGCCTCCCTGCCTATCTGCCCTTTCCTTAGCATCGGCAAGGCCCATACTTGTCAACTTTCCCTGTCCTTGGGACTGGTACAATCCCAAAACCTACTCTTCCACCCCTGACTCGTCCAACTTGTCGAATAAATCTCTTGCAAAAAGACCATGTACTCTAGGGCCTAGGCCATGACTAGATAGTAGATACCCTGAAAAACACACCCAGTAAACAGAAATAACTTTAGAAAACATACCTGACAAGAAGCATTTATTCCGTGAACTCGTCTCTTTCACCAATGCCGCTGCTGCTGGTTGTAAGCGATACTGCCAATCTCTGCTGCAGTAGAAACAAGAACTGCAGTGACAAAGGTCTATCTATTACAACAACCGAATTCATTCTCGATGGCAACTATTACCCCCCTTCTAAAATGCCAATTCAAGAAGTTCCGCCTCCTTTTCCTTCAGAAAACATTACTCCGATACTTTATGAATACTACTTAATAATAAGTTCATATTTAGCATTTATATATTCTCTACAAGATTATATGTTGTTCCTTTGCCAACAAAAAGGAGAATCTGCAGAAAAAGGTAGTGGGAAAATAACAGAAATGAACACTAAAATTCCGATAAAATAAATGTAGCCAGAATGGCTGTCCCCGTTCCTTCTCCTCCTGCACGAATCCCGTATGTCCTCCTGCTCCTTCCCCTCCTATTCTTCATCCTGGCATCTTCGTACCCCTGTGCTATAAAACCATGTAAAGAACTGTCGTCCTCACCCCTCCACCTACTCCTACCATCTTCCACCTCATGCACTTACTCCTCCCTCCGTGTATTTTCCTCTAACGACACCGTCTTCAACGCTAACCACATTCCTACCCCCCCTCTCTCTCTCTCTCTCTCTCTCTCTCTCTCTCTCTCTCTCTCTCTCTCTNCTCTCTCTCTCTCTCTCTCTCTCTCTCTCTCTCTCTCTCTCTCTCTCTCTCTCTCTCTCTCTCTCTCTCTCCCCCTGTTTGTTGTCCTCTTCTCCCTCTGCCTACGGTTTACCGCGCAGCTCTGTTAGACGATATATATATATATATATCATCTATCTATTCTATCCATCCATCTAATCTATCTATCTATCTATCTATCTATCTATCTATCTATCTATCTATCTATCTATCTATCTATCTATCTATCTACCTGTGTGTGTGTGTGGTGAGATACTCATCGCTACACAAAAAATTCAATGTTGACATTCTACTTCCTGAACTATCATGAGAAGATAATCGCCACTGTCTCTTCCTTGACTCAGCTCCAAGGTAACCCATCAAAGGTGAACTCGACTTAGTTCCTTCGCTCTAGCATTCTTATTTCCCTTCTGTTCGTCTTTCCCCGAAAAGACAAACTAGGCTTCAGTTACTTCTTCAGCAACATGCTATCTCTATCTCCATCAAGTCCGTCGTTGCAAAACCGACTCTCAGCAAAAGCCTAACTCATCCACAGGCTTCCAGTCACTTCCCCTTTCACATACCTTCTTTTCTTTTCTTTTCTTTTTGTTAGCCTTTGATAACCCACCTCCATTCACTAGTGCTCCTTGATGTGGAAATCATAGATTGCTGAATCGCCCGTAGCTGACAGTTGTTCGCCTCCTGCGCCTAACCAACAACACGGCAAGGACAACAATGAAGACGGCAACAGCTAGCCCAGCAATAACAACACCCACAACCAAAGCGCGACTTACACGCAAACGAGCAAAATCTGACGGACGCAGAGCTTGTTGCTCTTGACATGCAACTCCTCCGACGACTTTTGACTTGGTATCGTAAACGACTTCCTCGCAGGTGAAATTGTTCCCTTGGAGAAACAATGACGTCCAGCTTGGAGTACTTTCCGGGTAGAGGAACTGTGGAATAGGGCCGCTCAGCTGATTGAAACTAACATCCAGCACGTATGGGTAGATAGAATCCCCCAACCTAAGCGGGTTCCGCTGAGGATCGAACAAAGGCAGGTCACTCCAGCTCTCAGGAAAAGTGCCTGAGAAGCTATTTTGAGAAAGGTTCAGGTATAAAATCCCATTGCTGCTCCCCATTGTAAAATACAGAACACAGCACAACAAACCAAGGCCCAAACTCGAGCAAAAACCCAAACCAAACACAAACCAAACCAAATCAAACCAAACCAAACCATACCAAACCAAACCATACCAAACCAGACCAAACCGAACCGAACCAGACCAAATCAAAATCAATACCGAACCCCGACTCAACCCAACCAACACCATAACCAAACCCAAACCCAAACCCAAACCCAAACCAACACCAGAGCCAAGCAACCATGCCAAGCAAAACCAAACCAAACCAAACCAAACCAAACCAAACCAAACCAAACCAAACCAGACCAAACCAGACCTAACCGAACCGAACCAGACCAAATCAAAATCAATACCGAACCCAGACTCAACCCAACCAACACCATAACCAAACCTCCAAGCCCAAACCCAAACCCAAACCCAAACCAACACCAGAGCCAAGCAACCATGCCAAGCAAAACCAAACCAAACCACATCATGGAGAGATGTCAGTGATCGAGCAGCAAGCCAACTGAACAAGAAGTACATCTCAAAATAGCACCATATGCATTATAATGCAATTGACAGCAGACAACTGCATATATCAGCAGGCGATAAAATATAACGAGCACATCATAACACTTTGGGTAGATGAAATCCCTCAAGTTGTGATTGTTTGATAAAATTAAAAAATAAGGAATGATTTTCGTACTACCTTCTTTCCCCTGAATACAACGTACGGTCATTATATTTGAACGTGGGGTATCTTTCAGTCTAAGTGCAGATATAATGACCGTACGTTGTATTCGGGGGAGGTGAATCAAAGTGTCCCCGCCTGGCAAAACTAAGAGTTGGCTTGCAGAATTTTTTTTTGCAGCCATGCTCGACATCTGTGCCTGCCGAAGGAAAAAACTTCAAGTCCCCATAGTGTCAGCATGGGCTTCGCTCCACTAGTCACAACAGGCACAAGACACAAAAATCGTGGCAGTGTATCTTTCCATGTTGTACTGGAAGATTTCACTCTTGTTTTGCACATTTGGAGAGAAGGGGAGCCAGGCCGTAAGAGGGCGGGCAAAGGCAGGTTCGACTTCCCTACTGCCAGAATCGGTTCAACTTAGGACCTCGATCCACTACTGTCCACATGCACAAAAGAGAAGAACTATGGCATTGTATCTTTCCATGTTGTGCCAAAAATTTCATTCCCCTCTTCCACATTTGGAGAGTAGTGAGGAGAGGTCCTTACCTACTGCCAGAATCAGTGGTGTGTCTGCTGTGCCTGGCATTTGTCGGAATGACAACTGGCCTAGCCCAGTTGGTACACGGATAGCCTCCCTGCACTGCGCCTGCCACGGAATCCGTTGAAATGGTCCGTGGTGCGTTACCTGCGGCCGCGCTCCGCTACTCACCACATGCACGAAAGACAATAAAAACTAGGGTGGTGTAGCTTTTTCATGTTCTAGTGGAAGATTCATTCTCATTTTGCACATTCGGTAAGTAGCGGAGCAACGGCCCCTGTGCTCTCCGCCCACTCTCCGCCACCCACCAAATGTGTAAACGAGAATGAATTTTCCGCTAGAAAATGGAAAGATGAACAACCATATTTTTGTCTTTTGAGCATGTGGTGAGACCAAACAAACACCCCGCATCTAGATTTCATGTTGATAAGGGCGGTTTCTTCGCTCCGATAGTGTCAGCATACGGGTGCCACGATGTCCACACAGCAAAACAAAAACAACTCGCTTGTCTTGTCTTTTTCCTGTATTCTGTCGGTGACAATCACAAACCACTCACACACACACACACACACACACACACACACACACACACACACACACACACACACAAAGGGGGGGAAAAAAGCGATTGAGCACAGTGCGCACCCTTGCGTTGGAGCGCATCTCGATGGGCTCCACGCACAGCGCACCTGGTGTGCAGGTGTCACCGAGCGCATTCTACACGGCGCACCGCACCAGTGCGCCGCAAGTATGGTCCAGAGACAAATGAGGCAATATGTGCCCTACGTGAGGCAGTTGACTCTTGGAAAGTCGAGAGTCAGTCCCAACTCGAGAAAAGCAGACCACGAGTCAAAGATTTTTCAGCAGGCAACGCACAATCAAAGGCTGTCTGCATTCGTTCCGGAAGATTTCAGGGCCTACCCGGTCGACGCTATAAAAGCACGGCCAGCCCCAGTGGGTGATTCACTCTGCATATGCTGCTGGCTTGAGTGCTGGGCGAGGTAGTGAAGAGAGCGAGAAATGAAGACAGTGCCAGCCCAGGAAGGAGAGAGAGTGTGTGGTAGAGCTACCGGTAGCCATAGCTAGGAAGGGCACTCTGCCACCATAGCTGTAGGAGAAAGGGAGACAGGGCGAGGAGGAGGGCGATCAGGACTGTGGGTGGAGAGAGCGTCAGAGTATTGGAAGCGTACCTTGATGTGACTGGACGCTGCTGATACTGGAGCGGCTGCAGGTAACCACAGGAGGATGAAGAAGGTTGGCGCCCACTCCATAGCCAGCATTGATGCCGGCGGTTGGGCGCCAGAGCTGGTACTTGAGGAGGAACTTCATCAGTGACTTTCAGGACAAGACTTGCATTGGTGAGGTGGCGAGTTGATGGAGACGATCCCAGTGGTGAAGAGGGAAGGAAGAGCTGACTTACTTGTACTATTGACTTTTAAACCACCACTACCCCTGCCGTCATAAATTTGGGGGGGCTGGTAGCACAGGTCCATGAGGGCTACTGGTAGCACAGTGGGGAGAACTGGCGGAGTGGCAAAATTGGAAAATGCGTTGAATTGCCGCCGCGATTTATTTTGCTTTAAAAATGATTCCCCCCCCCCCCCACCTATAAAGAGAGCGACAAAATCTACGGACCCTCAAATTTTCAGAGTTGCTGATTCAACCTTCTGAGCGCAAAAAATCGCGAAAGTTGGGGAACTTTTCCCGTTGGCCCACACGTGGCAGAGTGGCAAAAATGGAAAATGCAACAAAACAGCGTGGCATTTATTTCACGGTCTAAATTTTTTTTCCCCATTTTTTTGATATTTTTCCTGGAAAGATCACAACCTCATCTGCACGATCTCAAATTCTCAGATTTTTTTCGCCAATATTCTGAGCACGAAAAATTGCCGAAGTTCGCTCTTGAAAATATTTGGACCAGACCCGCCTGCGCCTGCCAGTCGCCGCCCCCCCTAAGAACCCGGTCTGTAAGGCCAGGAAACACGAATTTAGGCTGACGGGGGTAGTGGTGATTTAATGAAACTATTCCCTCTCTCTCTTTCTCTCTCTCTCTCTCTCTCTCTCTCTCTCTCTCTCTCTCTCTCTCTCTCGCTCTGTGTGTGTGTGTGTGTGTCTGTGTGTCCGTCTCTGTCTGTCTGTCTGTCTGTCTGTCTGTCTCTCTCTCTCTCTCTCTCTCTCTCTCTCTCTCTCTCTCTCTCTCTCTCTCTCT